CGCACGCACGTACGTATAAATGTGCGCACACACGCACGTATAAATGTGCGACCGCACGCACGTATAAATGTGTGCACGCACGCACGTATAAATGTGCGCACGCATGTACGTATAAATGTGCGCACGCATGTACGTATAAATGTGCGCACGCATGTACGTATAAATGTGCGCACGCAAGTACGTATAAATGTGCGCACGCACGTACGTATAAATGTGCGCACGCACGTACGTATAAATGTGCGCACGCATGTACGTATAAATGTGCGCACGCACGTACGTATAAATGTGCGCACGCACGTACGTATAAATGTGTGCACGCACGTACGTATAAATGTGCGCACGCACGTACGTATAAATGTGCACACGTACGTACGTATAAATGTGCGCACGTACGTACGTATAAATGTGCGCACGTACGTACGTATAAATGTGCGCACGTACGTACGTATAAAACAACGGAACGGATCAGATGGTAACTCTGGACACCCTAGCGTAATGGAGGTAGTGTAAGTATGATGAGTGCATAGATGTGAACATGGATACAGACATAAGGATGAGTGCGTGTAGTATGAGTGCATTTATGTATAGGATGGATACATAAGACACGGTGTATGTAAGCGGATGGTAAGGGATCCCGTATGGACAGGAACAGTGGGAATATAGCTGTGCGAAAGGTAAAGATGAACGAGTACATGGATATAGAAATGTATTACTGTATGCATGTATATGTGGGTATGAGTGTGCATGTGTGTGTATATATATGGGAGCATGTATATTTATATATTTGTGTGTGTATGAATGACAGTGCACTCAAAGAATCCATAAATTGTGTTGCTGCATGTCTGTTAATTAATGAGAACAAATGGAATGAAGTGTGTAAGCAGCAAGAACGTCATCAACACACACGATCCACCAAAACATAATAAGACAGTACCGGACAGGTCACATTCTAGTAAAAGTGACACGACCAGACGAAATTACAGACATAGCGACACAAAACGCACAAGACATGGAAAAGTGAATGTCACTACGTGTGGATGTACTTTTTTTTTTATGTAAGTACAGGCATTGGTAGACGCATATGAAAGAGTTTGCGTGTGTACGTAATGTCAATTAGGTATGCATACACGGATAAGTATGAAAGGACGTGCAAGTATGTAGTGTGTCTGCCTGTATGGGTACTCGAGTGCATGTACGCATACACCTAGTTGGGTGCGTCCATATACTCCGGGGATTCATACACAAAACCATCCCATTCCACAGCATGCATACAACATGCACATGACCGACAGGACTCACAACACGATAAGAGTGACAACAAATAGGGAAAACAAGTGACTCGATAATGACAGGACTAGAACGCATAACCATCAATACCACCCATCACTGGGATGAAAGCAACGGTTGGTAACGTGATATACATAGTTCCGGCAAAAGGCCAGGCTAGAATCCAGCAAGACGGCAACGACGAGAAATGACTGAATGGCCTCCCGCCCCCTTTCCCCTCACCTATCCCTAACTCTTTCGGATGCCAATCCCACAGAGAGCACTTGAGTTCGTTACCCAAAATGCCACAGCAATTCTCATCGCCGAACATTTGGATCTCAAAGCGTGAGCTGGATGCTCCGGTTATAAGGTATTTACGTACACCGAAGCTTAGCTGTCAACACAATCCGATCACATAATAACAAATGACGACTGGACCCGCTTAAGGCTCCACATAAACTCTCACATACATATCCATTACATGACTAACCCGTTCATATTACAGGAAGACAACTATAAGACCACTAGGTCGACCCAGCCTAAAATGGGTACCAGGATGGGCTGTCCTGGGAAAGTAAAGACAGCCGGCGTACACCACATTACCCACAGAGTGCTGATGGTCTGTAAAAATATGGGACGCTCTGTCCGTATGCCCGATGCGCCAAAAGGCGTGAAAAGGGATCTTTACTTTTTACTTTACTTATGGTCACACGCGGACAATTTTCACATTTCGGAACTATTCAAATTCAAAAACTGTTTTCAGTAATTTTTGGCAAAATTAAAATACTCAAAATTATAAAACAATAGATGGTGGTCCAAAAGACGTTGTGTATGGAAGCTCCCTCTCCTTCGAGATACGCCTAGCCAGATCAAAGGGAGACAGAACAAACAGGAAACACCAAGAAAGAAGAAGGAAGACATGCACCAATGACAACAGGACGAGCGGTTAGATTCGGGTGGAAGCATCAAGCCCAGAAATGGCACAAACACTAGTATTCAGTCACGATAGTGACGCAAATAACCCAGACCACAAATATAGGCGGAGACTGCTAGCAGCCTAGGCTAGCTAGCAGCAGTCTGAACGTGGTCGAGCTTTTCTTTTTTTTTCTCAAATGGACTTGGACTTGGACTAGCTTTACTTGTCTGTGATTGCTGCCTGCTAACTGATCTAGTACACTGTGAAGAGTTCTGTGAAGAATGTCTCCTGTGCAGAAGGCTAAGTCAGGAGTGGAAGATTTGCACCATCTTCTAGAGTAGAAGCTGGGTTTGTCTTCTGGTGTGTTAATTAAATGAAGATTGGAGTCTATTTCCCAGTCCTCGACTTCATCTCCTCTGGTGTCAGTATCTGGGTATCCCCATCTTTCTGAGCGACTTTTAAAGTCTCCACTACATTGCAGTTTGTGTCATTTATTTCCATTCTTGAAAGTGTAAGATCTTTGTTTGCTGGGCTATATATAAGTTGTATATTCTGATTGTATCCTCCTTTATCCAGTATATCAACGCCTATCATTTCTGATTCGTTATTTGAGTTCACAGCTACTTCACTGCTTGGTATAGAGTTTCGAATAAGTATTATAATTCCTTCCTTGTGCCCTTATCGGTCGCAGCGTATAGCTTCATATCCTCTGACAGAAAATCTGTGATGGGCATTGACGTGTGTCTCTTAGATGCTTGCCGAATCAATTTTGTCTTCATAAAGACAGTTTGTTAGAGAAAGTTGTTTTTATTTAAAACTCCTTCAGCATTTCACTGCAGTATGTTAAGTGTCCTTAATATTTGGTCAATAGTTTTTACCCTAATGCCCTGTGCCCTGACTCCACAGCATAGGGGTAGGTGCCCACCAGTAGTGTTGGGTGGACCTCTTCGAGGCAAGGCGCCCGGCACTATCTCTGCCTGGCAGGGCTCCACGAGATTAGCACCATATCGATATATTTTAATTTGTGACATGAAATTTAGGGCGTGTCTCTCTTCGTCTGGTTCCTATCCTTCGACCTGTCTGACATGGGAGACCCTACCAGTAGCTAAACTGCCGTTAGCATAGCTCCTAGGGTTAATGGCACACACGCCCCTCTACCACTACAAGGTGGAGACACATCAGAGGGGCAGGGTTGTGTTTGACAACCAGCATGACTAGCCTAGATGTTGTCATAGAGGCAAGTGCCAGAAGACAAGTTATCGCAAATATCAGAAAGAGGCAGTTATCATTTTCATCGCGTCAGTTATCATCGCACCAAGAGAGTCAGGGAAAGAAAACACGAGTGGATTACTGAAAGCCTTATATCATGGCATGCAGGGGTGTCAGCACACGAGTGGATCACTGAAAGCCTTATATCATGGCATGGAGAGGTGTCAGCGCGCGAGTGGATCACTGAAAGCCTTATATCATGGCTTGGAGGGGTGTCAGCACACGAGTGGATCACTGAAAGCCTTATATCATGGCATGGAGGGGTGTCAGCACACGAGTGGATCACTGAAAGCCTTATATCATGGCATGGAGGGGTGTCAGCACACGAGTGGATTACTGAAAGCCTTATATCATGGCATTGAGGGGTGTCAGCACACGAGCGGATCACTGAAAGCCTTATATCATGTCATTGAGGTGTGTCTGCACATGAGTGGTTTACTGTAAACTTTATATCATGGCATGCAGGGGTGTCAGCACACGAGTGGATCAATGAAAGCCTTATATCATGGCATGCAGGGGTGTCAGCACACGAGTGGATCACTGAAAGCCTTATATCATGGCATGGAGGGGTGTCTGCACACGAGTGGTTTACTGAAAACGTTATATCATGGCATGGAGGGGTGTCAGCACACGAGTGGATCACTGAAAGCCTTATATCATGGCATGGAGGGGTGTCTGCACACGAGTGGTTTACTGAAAACGTTATATCATGGCATGGAGGGGTGTCTGATACCTGCCCCTGGAGATCGTAAGTGGAGGAGAGATATGATCGCCCATGCGAATCGGCAGTCAGATGATGATTATGGGGATGATTATGATGATGATGTGGTGAAGCATGTTGTTTGGCGAAAAGATGATGACAAAGTAACACTGTTTGTGATGTGGCAATTGTAGTGAAGTTATGTGTATGTCGTATTCATCAGACATTAACATTAGAAACTGATACTGCAGTGATGACGATAATTTTTTATGTTTTGTTATGCACACACAGAAAGAGCAAACAAACGAGCCAACGAACCAGCAAACGAACAAGCAAACAAACAGGCACACACACAACGGTAACTTCTTCGTACGCTAACAGAACAAACAAATGCGACAAACAGCACAAACAGAGCAGATAGGACATACAGAACAGACAGCACAAACTAAAAGAACAAACAGCACAAATATATAAACGGAACAAATAAACAAAACAAAAAGCACAAACATAACAACAAACTCCACAAACACACACAGAACATGCAGAACAGACATACAAACAGAACAAATTAACAGAACAAACAACAGAATACACAGCACAAACATACAAAAAGAACAAACAAACAGAACACACACAACAAACATAAAAACAGAACAAAAAAAACAGACATACAAACAGAACAAACCACAAAACATACATACAAACAGAATAAACAATAGAACAAACATCACATACAAACAGAACAAACAAACAGAATAAACACACAGAACAACCACGCGAACAGAACAAACAAAAGACGAAACAGCAAAAACATACAAACCGCACAAACATACAAACAGAGAAACGAACCGTTTCAGAAATCTCAACACTGTGTAGGCAGTGTCCGCGTCCAGACCTGTGGTGGGCTCATCCAAAAATAGCACTGGGGGAGAGATAATCAGCTCCATGCCAATGCTGCACCGTTTTCTCTCCCCTCCCGACACGCCTCGGATAAATTCATTTCCGACCTAAAATTAAATGGTTTCATGATGACAGACAGGTAACTAGCATGAAAAAAAAAATAACAAAAGAACAACAGAAACGATGTTAGCTATTTAATATAATGAACAACTGAATTAGTGAGACGTACAGAAAATGAAAAAATAAAAATAAAAAACGAGAGATATAACAAGATTTTTTGTTTATCGCAAATCACAATACTCATGCTCATCTTGACACACACATGACAGGGATGCCTCACCAAGCAGGTCTCGTTATGACGGGCATCCCAAGAATAGCGTCTGTAGAGGTCACACTGGATAATAAAACATTGCCCCTTTGATCTGCCATTCAGATTGAGACTGCCTAATCCTGATTAGATTTTTGTGTTTGTACTTAACATGTAGTAGATAGAACAATTCATGTAGTTTTTTACTAGGGTAGTAGTCGTAGTGTCGGCTCTGTGGCTAAGTCGATGCGAACGCTTCGTAATGCCGGGTTCGATCCCAGCTGCGGGCCATGCGCCTTGAGTTGGTTTCGACAGTGGTATCAAGTAAGCCGACCGTCCAGAGGCAATGGCAAACTACTGGACGTAAATTTGCCTAAAAAAACCACACAACAGCCAGGGGCTTTTGGGGTTGGTTCTGCAACGTCCTGTAAAGGATACGCAACTAACCTTACCTAACCTAAGTAGTCGTAGTGGACAGTGCTAGCGTGAGTCAGATCTGTTCACTTAATTTACAATAACGCTTTTGGGACAATTCTAACTCTGTGTAATTGAGATTTTCATTCTCTTAAAAAAATAAATATTTCCCACGGGTCTACGGTCGAAATACTCGCTCGTGTTGTATTGTTAGTAACTAGTCTTTGTTGTTATCGTCTTGCTACCGCGTCTGTAAGTGTTTAATTAAAAGTTTGTTATTGTTCGTCGCGTGTCGTCATTTTTAGATTAAAACTCAAGCCTAATAGGTGTCGTTTGAATAATGAGAAGACATGGATAACATCAGATGGAAGATGCATAACTGAAATAAGAAACAGAATAGGACAGGCAAAAACTGCATTTTATAAAATGAAAAACATCTTGTGCAATATATCCTTGTCATTGAGAGAAAAAGAATTCTTGCCTGCTACATACATCCAGTTTAACATATGGCTGTGAATCCTGGACAATCGGTAGGCAGGCCAAACAATTTCTGGAGGCCTCGGAGATGTGGTTTTACAGAAGAATGCTTAGAATACCTTGGACAGCCAAAAAGAGCAACCAAGAGGTTTTGAAAGAGGCGGGAGCCCGAAAACCACTTATCACAGACATCAGAAGGAGACAGTCATCATTTTTCGGTCATGTTATGAATAGAGGGAAAATAGAACATGTTGTGACCACTGGAAAGATATGTGGAAGAAGATATAGAGGAAGACAACGAGAGAAGATGCTTGACAATCTTGTTGCCCGGCTCTCTAGCGAAGTTGGTTAAACCTGACTTTCGCGGCGGCAGGGTGACGAACTCCTTGTGGTCCGGGTTCACTCCCGGGGTTAGGCAGAAAAGCCACATTTCTCCCAGATTAACGGTACCTATAATGGAATCAATGCCGAAGGGTTGTGATATCCATAGTACCGAGCCAAAGGGATTACAACTCATGGTTTCTGGATACGTTAAAAAAAAAGACAGTCTTGTTGCATGGCATGGAGGTGTGTCGGCACACGAACTGATACATGCTGCAGAAGATCGCAGATTATGGAGAGGCATGATCGCCCACGCCAGTCGGCAAGGCACCTGATGATGATGATGATGATGAATATGTGTCGAGTGTAAATTTTCTTATGTGATACTTGCGACGTTTAGATTAATTTTATATAATCGTTTTTTTTTTTTTCGAGTACACATCCCTCATCAATTCTCATCTGAGTAAATGTAAGGAGTAGACCTCGATGATCTATCCCCATTTTCGGCCATTAAGATCCAAATTGTTTCAAAATCGCTTCTAATTCTGCTTCTGTCAACTTAGTTGTCCTGTTACTTAGTATTATTTTGCGTTATTACTTTTGTATTTGTATTTTTGTTGTTGATGCAAGTACTTGCTCTGTCGCGAGTAATTTTTTTTTTACCGTGGCTGCTGCGAGTAAAGTATTTTTGTGTGTGTGGCTGCAAGTGAATATTTTTTTATTTATTGTTAAGAGTAATTAGTTTAGAGAAAGTCAGGTTTGACTGACTTGTTAAAATTGGTGCACTATTGCAAGATGTCTAGAGTCTCCGAGATCATTAGGATGGCTAGACAGCATGGGCTGACTAGAGAGGAAGTATTAGAGTGGTCGGACAAGAAATACGCCGATCAACACAAAAAAGACAAGATTAAGCGGATGAAAGAGAACTAAAGAAGCTCGATTTAAAAGCAAATATTAAGACACAGGGAGAGAAGGAATTAGCAGGGCAAACATCCTTGCAAGTAACTTTAAAAGATTAAGAATAAGAGGTGCAAGCTCTTGCTAAACAGCAAGAAGCTGTTCTGAAACAGGAAGAGCTAGCTGCGCAAGTAGCTATGGAACAGCAAGAGTTAGCAGCACGGCCTCCTTTAGTATAATGAAGGACCATCCTATCTTGGGCTGACTACCAACTGTTTATTGTCTGTACATTCAAGATAGATGTGTGTGCTCTGTAAGTGTTTTGGCTTAGTGTGTGGTATTGATAGATTGCCTGTCATTAGCCTACAAACAAGCCACATACTTGCACGGCAGAAATAAGACCTCTGACAAACCAGGCAGAAACTAACCTTGATGTAAACACACTTGTATCATGAACAGATGAATTAGGTTGATAAACTTTTGTGTCCACACTCATGTATCATAAACAGATGAATGAACGAGGTAGAGACTAACCTTTGTGTCCACACTCATGTATCATAAACAGATGAATGAACGAGGCAGAGACTAACCTTTGTGTCCACACACATGTATCATAAACAGATAAATGAACCAGGCAGACTAACCTTTGTGTCCACACACATGTATCATAAACAGATGAATGAACCAGGCAGACTAACCTTCGTGTCCACACACATGTATCATACACAGATGAATGAACCAGGCAGAGACTAACCTTTGTGTCCACACACATGTATCATAATCAGATGAATGAACCAGGCAGAGACTAACGTTTGTGTCCAAACACCTGTATCATAAACAGATGAATGAACGAGGCAGAGACTAACCTTTGTGTCCACACACATGTATCATAAACAGATTAATGAACCAGGCAGAGACTAACCTTTGTGTCCACACACATGTATCATAAACAGATCAATGAATCAGGCAGACTAACCTTTGTGTCCACACACATGTATCATAAACAGATTAATGAACCAGGCAGTGACTAACCTTTGTGTCCACACACATGTATCATAAACAGATTAATGAACCAGGCAGAGACTAACCTTTGTGTCCACACACATGTATCATAAACAGATGAATGAATCAGGCAGACTAACCTTTGTGTCCACACACATGTATCATAAACAGATGAATCAACGAGGCGGAGACTAACCTTTGTGTCCACACACATGTATCATAAACAGATGAATGAACCAGGTAGAATAACCTTTGTGTCCACACACATGTATCAAACAGATGAATGAACCAGGCAGACTAACGTTTGTGTCCACACACATGTATCATAAACAAATAAATGAGCGAGGCAGACTGATCTTTGTGTCCACACACATGTATCATAAACAGATGAATGAACCAGGTAGACTAACCTCTGTGTCCACACACATGTATCATAAACAAATGAATGAGCGAGGCAGACTGACCTTTGTGTCCACACACATGTATCATAAACAGATGAATGAACCAGGCAGACTAACCTTTGTGTCCACACACATGTATCATATACAAATAAATGAACGAGGCAGAGACTAACCTTTGTGTCCACACACATGTATCATACACAGATGAATGAACCAGGCAGAGACTAACCTTTGTGTCTACACAAATGTATCACAAATGAATGAACGAGGCAGAGACTAACCTTTGTGTCTACACACATGTATCATAAACTAATGAATGAACGAGGCAGAGACTAACCTTTGTGTCTTCTTCTTCTTCACTTCCTCTTTTACCGCTGTGAGTGTCGAGGGAGATATAAGGTTCTGTTTCTAGCTCTTCTGGCCGCCTCGACCATAGGCACATCATGCTGTTGTAGAGTTTCTCTGATGTTATCCTTCCATATTGTTCTTGGTCTACCCCGTGCTCTACGTCCTTCTTCTCTTTCCATGTCTGCTTTGTATGGTATGGTGTCACAAGGCATTCTCTCTAAGTGGGCAAAACATTTCACTTGCTGTCTTTGTATGTAATCCAGAATTGGTTCTGTGCCGACTTGTTCTCTTATGATCTCATTCTTGATCTTATCTCTTATGGTCACTCCTACAGCCCTTCTCAGACATCTCATTTCCGTGGTTACTAATTTTATTTTATGGTTTGTTGTTAGTGACCATGTCTGGCACTGGTAGCACAGAGTTGGAATAAATATGCTTTGAATAAGATGTCTCTTTGTGCTGATTGGGATTGCCTTATGCTGTAAGAGGGGGGCTAGCTGTCCCAATACTTGGTTTGCTTTACTGCATCTAATGTAAATTTCTTTATCCAATTTCCCATCTTCGGTAAATGTAGTTCCCAGATATTTAAACTCAGATGCCTGTTTAATGCCTTTGTATTCTATTGCTATGTTTAGATCTGTCTTCTTTTTTCCTATTGACATTACTTCTGTCTTTTCAGTGTTGATTCTCATATTATTTGTTTTACATTCTTCATTCATGGATGTTAGATGTTGTTGCAATTTCATGGCTGTATCTGCTATCAAGGCCTGGTCATTTGCAAACAGTAATTCGTTGATCTTACTAAGATCTTCATTCATAGGCTTGGCATTCTTGCATATACTGTCGATGTAGGTGATAAACAGCAGTGGTGATAAGACATACCCCTGTCTTACTCCAGATGTCACTGTGAAAGGATGAGATGTTCCCTGATTTATTCTAACTACACTTCTACAATCCATGTATAAACTTTTTCACACTTCGATGAGGTGTTCGCTTACTCCATATCTTGCCATTATTTTCCATAATAATTGTCTGTCGACTCTGTCAAATGCCTTCTCCTGGTCTACGAATGCCACAAATAAGTTCTTTTTGTATTCAATGTTCTTTTCAATTAACTGTTTAAGTGTGAAGTTTGCATCTGTGCAGCTTCTATTTCTCCTAAATCCCATCTGTTCTTCTACCAGCTGAGGTTCTATCACTGGTCTCAATCTTGTTTCTATTATTTTGGCATACATTTTGCCAACATGGCTTAAAAGAGAGATGCCTCGATATTGACCACATTCTCGTTTGCTTCCTTTGTTCTTCCACAATGGTATAACTATTGCATGTTGCCAATCAATAGAGACCGTTTGTTGTACTCATGCTGCATTGAATATTCTGTGAAGCCATCTGATGCTGCTTTCACCTGCTGCTTGAATTATTTCTGTTGGTAATCTATCAGCTCCTGGTGCTTTATATTTGGGAGACTGTTTAATTACTTTTTCTATTTCATCCATAAGTATGTGTGGTTCTAACACTGTTGCTCTGTGCTCTTCAGTTGTTCTTTCCTTATGATCTCCTAGAGGATTAAAGAGCTCATTGAAGTATTCCCTCCATCTTTCTGCTATCTCGGGTGGATCTATCAATGGCCTTCCTGTCTTATCATTAATTATTTCAGTGACCTTTGTGTCTACACACATGCATCATAACCAAATGAATGAACGAGGCATAGACTGACCTTTGTGTCCACACACATGTATCATACACAGATGAATGAACCAGGCAGAGACTAACCTTTGTGTCCACACACATGTATCATAGACAAATGAATGAACGAGGCAGAGACTAACCCTTGTGTCCACACACATGTATCATACACAGATGAATTAGGTTGATAAACGTTTGTGTCGACACACATGTATTATAGACAAATGAATGAACGAGGCAGAGACTAACCCTTGTGTTTACACACATGTATCATACACAGATGAATGAACCAGGCAGGGACTAACCTTTGTGTCCACACACATGTATCATAGACAAATGAATGAACGAGGCAGAGACTAACCTTTGTGTCCACACACATGTATCATACACAGATGAATGAACCAGACAGACTAACCTTTGTGAGCACACACATGTATCATAAACAGATGATTGAACCAGGCAGAGACTAACCTTTGTATCCACACACATGTATCATACACAGATGAATGAACCAGGCAGATACTAACCTTTGTATCCACACACATGTATCATACACAGATGAATAAACCAGGCAGATACTAACCGTTGTGTCCACACACATGTATCATAAACAGATGAATGAAACAGGCAGAGACTAACCTTTGTGTCCACACACATGTATCATACACAGATGAATGAACCAGGCAGAGACTAACCCTTGTGTCCACACACGTGTATCATACACAGATGAATGAACCAGGCAGAGACTAACCTTTGTGTCCACGCGCATGTATCATATACAAGTGAATAAACTAGGCAGAGACTAACCTTTGTATCAGCGCACTTGTCGAGACCCAATTCCCTGATCACATTGTTCACTCTTTCGTTTCTCTCTGCCGCTGTCACTGAGGAGGGTAACCTCAGGGCGGCAGAAAACTGGATGTTTTCTCTGATGGACAGAGTCCCCATGACAGTATCGTCCTTAAAACAAAACAAAAACGTGTCTCAGACAGGACGCAGTCATTTCACAAGCTAAATACAATCATGGCACACTGTAGGGTGGATGCTACATGACACACTGTAAAATTTATTACACACTAAGAAATGCAAAATGAATTCTACCTTACCTAGAGTAAGATGGATTGATTCTACATTACACGCTGTAAGTCGGATTCTACCTGCATTGTAACATGGATTCTACGTGACACACTGTTATATGGAATCTACATGACACTCCGCGAGGTTTTTTCTAGATGACACACTTTAAGATGGATTCTACATGACACACTGTAAGGTGGATTCTGCATGACACGCCGCAAAAAGGATTATACATAACACACTGCAAGATGAATTATACATGACACACTGTAACACGAATTCTACACGACACACTGTAAGATAGATGCTACATTGCACACTGTAAGGTAGATTCTACCTGACATATTGTAAGTTGGATTCTACATGACACTTTCAGATAAAATCTGCATGACACACTGTAACATAGATTCTACACGAGACACTGTAAGAATGGCTCTATATAACAGTTTATCACATGGATTCTACATGACACACTGTAAAAATATTTCTGCATGACACTCTGTAACATGGATTCTACATAACACACTGTAACATGGATTCTACATAACATACTGTAACATGGATTCTACATAACATACTGTAACATGGATTCTACATAACATACGGTAACATGGATTCTACATAACATACTGTAACTTGGATTCTACATAACATACTGTAACATGGATTCTACATAACATACTGTAACATGGATTCTACATAACACACTGTAACATGGATTCTACATAACACACTGTAACATGGATTCTACATAACATACTGTAACATGGATTCTACATAACATACTGTTACATGGATTCTACATAACACACTGTAACATGGATTCTACATAACATACTGTAACATGGATTCTACATAAAATACTGTAACATGGATTCTACATAACACACTGTAACATGGATTCTACATAACATACTGTAACATGGATTTTACATAACATACTGTAACATGGATTCTACATAACATACTGTAACATGGATTCTACATAACATACTGTAACATGGATTCTACATAACATACTGTAACATGGATTCTACATAACACACTATAACATAGATTCTACATAACATACTGTAACATACATTCTCCATGACATACTGTAACATGGATTCTACATAACACACTGTAACATAGATTCTACACAACATACTGTAACATGGATTCTACATAACACACTGAAAGATAGATTCTTTATGACACACTATGACAGACTGTAACATGAATTCTACATAGCACACTGTAACATGTATGCTACCTGACACACTGAAACACAGATTCTTCATGAGACACTGTTATATGGATTCTACGTGACACACTGTAACATGGATTTTACATGACAAGCTGTAACATGGAAGCTACCTGACACATTGTAACATAGATTTTACATGACATACTGTAACATGGATTTTACATGAGACACTGTAATATGGATTCTACGTGACACACTGTAACATGGATTCTACATGACATACTGTAACATGGAAGCCACCTTGCACATTGTAACATAGATTTTACATGACATACTGTAACATGGATTCTACACGAGACACTGTAATATGGGTTTTACGTGACACACTGTAAAATGGATTCTACACGACATACTGTAACATGGATTCTACACGACATACTGTAACATGGGTTCTACGTGACACATTGTAACATGGATTCTTCATGAGAAACTGTAATATGGATTCTACGTGACACACTGTAACATGGAAGCTACCTGACACATTGTAACATAGATTTTACATGAGATACTGTAACATGTTTGCTACCTGACACATTGTAACATACATTCTCCTTGACATACTGTAACATGGATACTACCTGACACATTGTAACATACATTCTCCATGACATACTGTAACATGGAGGCTACCTGACACATTGTAACACAGATTTTACATGACATACTGTAACATGGAGGCTACCTGACATATTGTAACACAGATTTTACATGACATTCTGTAAGATGGATTCTACATGACGCATTGCAGAATGGATTCTACACCATGAACTGTCAGATTCTATACTGAAGATAAACTCTGCAGATACAATTACCTGAACGACATAGCCCACCATACACTTGAAGTTGAGTGGAACACGTTGACCATCAAGTAAAAGATGGCCTGATACTCCTGCGGGATCCTTTCTATTGGCAAGAATGTCTAGGAACCTGGAGACATCAGAGAAGACGATTGGGCGCATCTATCTATCTATCTAATCTATCTATCTATCTATCTATCTAATCTATCTATCTATCTATCTATCTATCTATCTATCTATCAATCAATCAATCTATCTATCTATCTATCTATCTATCTATCTATCTATCTATCTATCTATCTATCTATCTATCTATCTATCTATCTATCTATCTATCTATCTATCTATCTATCTATCTATCTATCTATCTATCTATCTATCTATCTATCTATCTATCTATCTATCTATCTATCTATCTATCTATCTATCTATCTATCTATCTATCTATCTATCTATCTATCTATCTATCTATCTATCTATCTATCTATCTATCTATCTATCTATCTATCTATCTATCTATCCATCCAAAAGCCAGGAAAAAAAATTAACGGGCCAATCGAAGCACAGGTCTTGTGTTCTGGCTGTTGAGCTATGAGGCAGGCGATGCGGGAACTACAGTGCAAGTGAACAATGGGAGATGGGAAGGGCTCCATATCATCCGCTGTCAAGGTCAAGGCTCGAGCGGGACTACGTTCAGCAGTTTGCTAAACTTACTCGTTAAACACAGGCAGGGCACTGCGAAATAAACTCAGTAAGTGTCTGAATAAGCCCGGCTTTTTCATCGAGCATTCCAATGAGGGAAAGTGTTTAACTGTAACTTTTATTAACACTTTTCAATATGAGGCTTTTCGGTCCTGTCTCATCAAACACTACCAAGATGAGCACATTGAACACAGGACAGACAAACAAGGCGCACACGTTGAGGACAAAATAATTGCACCAGCAAAAACAATTCATTTTTAACACACGCAAAACAAACTACTGGCCCAGGGCTCAGCTGAGGCGATTAAATATTGGTTTGCTGTGGAATTCGTTTCTTTGGAAATTTCAGCCCAGAAAACATATGACGAATTGTTAAAAATCATCCCCAGTTCTGTCGTCGTAATACGATTTATTCGCTGATGACTGTACCATCTATTCAAATGCTTAAAAGTGTAATATGCTAGAGTTGTCTTTGCAACAAGAATCAAACAATGTAGTTAGTTTGGGCTACGCAAACCGCATGCAAATCAACATAATTAAGACAAAATCTATTTTAATAACAAGACAAACTGTGCACTTTAAACTCTCATAGAACCCTTTAACTCTACCTAGGTAACACGCCAATAGAAAGTGTAACTGAGCACAAAACTGTAGGCCTGATCATCGATGGAAATCTTACCTTTAACTCTCATGTGCAAACACTTGTTAAGCAAACTGCTACAAAGGTCTACCAACTAGCAAAAATTAAAAACTTTCTGGATGAAAACACTAGGAAATTATTCTATACTTCTCATATTCAGACCCGCATAGACTATTTCTCCACAATATGGGTGTCACGAAACGATCTCAGTGATTCCAGAAGTTAGTACTTGTAATAAGTTCTTCTGGTTCTAAAGAGAGAGGATTATATTGACTCTGCCCTTTACCCTAATATTACTTTAAACCGTATTGATTTAAATGTTTCCAGTCCTTAGTCCAGACAAAGCGACTCAGTCTTGGGTAATGTTACACAATTACACCGGGGCTAGAGAATTCCCTTTCACATGCCCATGTCATAAATGTTATCTCCTGACCAGACTGCTTTGAACAGACTTTTGATGAGACTAGGGGTGTAGGTTTGATTCTCACGCCAGTGTCAGAATGTTATCTCCTAACACAGCCTGAGCGGGCCCTTTTGAACAGGGGAATTGAGCGGACTGTAGACATTGAGGCGAGGAGAAGTTTAAAGTTTAACACGTCAGTGTAATTCGGGGTAAACTAGATTGGGGCACTTAAGAATGTTTGCTCTAGGGATGTCAGTCCATAATTGACTGACAGGCCACTTGTTAGCTAATTTGATTTGATAGGTACTTCGGAGGAGGAGCTTAAGCCATCATCTTGAGGGTTGGGTAAAAACTAAGGAAAGGGAGGAGTTTAATTTGGACAATAGATTAATACTTATACTGCGAGCCTGTGGAATTCCCGTCATTAATCGCAGCCTGCCGGCAAACAAACAGGTCGACGTAAAGGTATATTTTACTGTCGTACTCTGGTTTGGCGATAAATGGGAAGTTCCCAGCGCCCATGTGACAATCAGTCCATGAAGTAGCCTACATTGTGTTAGACTCGGCCAGCTGGGAACCAGATGGAGAACGAGGTGGGGATGAAGTGGAGAATAAGCTGAAACAGGCAGACAACAGGCAAGGAAGAGTTGGACAAGCTTGACAGTTCCTCACGGCTGTCAGAGGCTTATAAGTTGAGTTAACCCCTTTATGTTAACCTATTATCATCATTATCATACCACTCTAAACCCCGAGCTGTTTGTCTCGCTGACGCTTAAAACCTCTTTACGTTAACCAGTCACTGTTTGTGTAAATCAACAAACTGGGAATTTCATTGTAGTAAATAAAGCTGTATGTCAAGTTTTAAACTACATAGTTTGTTAAATTCCAAATGTCTGTTCTTACATGTTTAAGTAAACTGTTAAGATAGAATACCATTTGGTGGGGGCTCAAATAATATAATAATTCTTTAATTATTCATAATAAAACCGGGAGAAGGTAGATGACGGAGGAATCACTTGCCCTGTCTAATAATTCATTAAGTATGATAGACATCTAAAATTCCTTGCCTTCTCTTGTGGGTACCAAGTTCAGCTAATGTTAATATACTTAACGAGCCAATATGGCTGTTTTCTTGGATATCCAGGA